GCTTTCTCTTAAGTTATATTGTTTTGTTGTTATTATTATTTTTCGTTAAATGGTATGTCATTCCTATGTTTGGTTTGAATGTTGTATTTCATTGAAAACCTTTCAAATGATTGCCAATTAATTGATTGATTGCTTCCAAATAACAGGACTTAAAAGTATTTTCTCTCAAAAATAATATAAGTATTAAATCAATGAAAGAAAATTCAAAGAGTGGCTCCTATTGTAGTACTACTGATGATGAGAGCTATATTCGCACCGACGAAGACCTCGACGACGATCTTCAATGGAGTATATCATCGAAACAGCGAAACTTTATTTACCGTTAAATGTATTTTATTATAAATATTTATAAATTTAAATGCTATACAAATAAAACCATTTTTATTATTTAATTATTTAATAAACATTTTTATTGATATAATTTAATTAGAAAAATAGTTAATAAATTACTGTTTATCTGTTTTGAGCTTTTTATTCGACTTTTGTTTCTTATCTCCAACCAAATCAATGGCTCGTTTCGGTCCTATAAGCTTTCTCTTAAGTTATATTGTTTTGTTGTTATTATTATTTTTCGTTAAATGGTATGTCATTCCTATGTTTGGTTTGAATGTTGTATTTCATTGAAAACCTTTCAAATGATTGCCAATTAATTGATTCATTGCTTCCAAATAACAGGACTTAAAAGTATTTTCTCTCAAAAATAATATAAGTATTAAATCAATGAAAGAAAATTCAAAGAGTGGCTCATATTGTAGTACTACTGATGATGAGAGCTATATTCGCACCGACGAAGACCTCGACGACGATCTTCAATGGAGTATATCATCGAAACAGCGAAACTTTATTTACCGTTAAATGTATTTTATTACAAATATTTATAAATTTAAATGCTATACAAATAAAATCATTTTTATTATTTAATTATTTAACAAACATTTTTATTGATATAATTTAATTAGAAAAATAGTTAATAAATTACTGTTTATCTGTTTTGAGCTTTTTATTCGACTTTTGTTTCTTATCTCCAACCAAATCAATGGCTCGTTTCGGTCCTATAAATGCAAAAATATATTGTTTTTCAATAATTTCATAACAATTTAAGAATTTGTAATTTTCAATAAACATTGCGGTAATAATTGTTATACCTTTAAATTGTGACCAATTAGCAGATCCACCCCTTAACAGATGAGCGTAAAGTGATTTTGTTTGTGAAATGGGTTTTTTGATGAGAAAATCCAATTGTTTTTTCATCGCTTTAAACCTACGAATGTCTTTGGAGTTCGTGTCCATCCCGTCGTCGGAATCGTTGGACTCACTGTCGCTCAAAATTTCGCATTTCTCTGCGTTCACACGAAACCAATCGTCTCGTGATCTCTCTTTCCGGATCTTATGGTCCAATTGGTCGCACTTTTGGGCCAAATCTATCCTCTGTTTNTGGAGTTCGTGTCCATCCCGTCGTCGGAATCGTTGGACTCACTGTCGCTCAAAATTTCGCATTTCTCTGCGTTCACACGAAACCAATCGTCTCGTGATCTCTCTTTCCGGATCTTATGGTCCAATTGATCGCACTTTTGGGCCAAATCTATCCTCTGTTTCAATGTCTTCATAAGTGATTTATCGATTGGGAACTCTTGTAAACGATTTCCTTTGTGAAGAGTTTTGGCAAATTCTTTGTAATAATTGGTCTCTTCTTTGGGTTCGCAGAGCATTAAACTCAGGCCTGTGTTGAAAGCACGCGCTGTCCGACCACTTCGGTGCACATATATCTCAGCAGTTCTCGGGATCTGATAGTGAACGACATGATCAACACATGGAATGTCGAGACCACGAGCGGCCACATCGCTGGCGATTAACACCGACTCTGAGTTGGCCTCAAATTTCTCCAAATTAGCTAATCTTCGCTTCTGAGGCATTGATGAGTGCAGAGGAAGTGGTTTTACTTCTAATAGTTTTAAGACATTCACAACTCGTCTCAAACAGTCTTTGCTGTTACAGAAAATAAGAGTTCGGCCTTTAAATAGACACAAAAAAATTATGTTTATATTTAGGAAAAGAAGCCGGTTTGTTAACTAAAATGTAAGTCAGTTGACAAACAGTCCTTAAGGTTGCGGAAGACGCAAGTCTAGTTACTGAAGACACAGCAGGCTTGCGTAGGGTTAAAAGTCAATAAATTTATTTAACTTCTGTTTGCCATTGAATTTATTTGATTTGTTTTTGTGTTTCATTTTGAGTCGTTGTGGCAAAGAGTAAGAGAGTGTAAGGGTTGCCGAAAACACAAACGTTTGTCTTTGGGTGCGTTTGGCGCGCAACAGATCCATGAGTTGAACCAAGTCTTTGAAGTGTCCCTTCTCTGCCATTCTGTCGGCTTCGTCTATAACCAAGTATTTCATACGAGAGACAGTGTCTGCAGTCAAGTGTTCGTTCGACTGGTCGCCCATCAGTTCCCATAGCCTTCCAGGAGTGGCCACAAGTATATCGGGTTTTACTTTCTTCAGAATCCTCTCCTGTTTCTGGACAGACATTCCGCCGACGAGTACTCCCAATGAGACGCCACTGTATTTAGTAATGGCCTCCAAATGCTTCTTCACTTGAATGGCTAACTCTCGGGTCGGAGTCAACACCAGAGCCCGGAGTTGACTCACATCGTTGTCCAACTTGTCATTCATTATATGTGTCACTAATGGTATGCCAAACGCCAATGTCTTACCACTTCCAGTCTGCGCGGCACCCAATATGTCTACTCTGTCTTCAATGGCAACTTTGATGGCTTTGGATTGAATGGGTGTGCCTGAACTTTTGGCATTTAGTGAATTACTAGAGTTATACCCAAGTCCTTATGTGTACAAAACGGTGTTTAGGTAACTAAGTGTAGAAAGACCGCAAAGAAGAAGATTTAGTAGCCAGTTAAGTAAGCTCTGTTTCTCCTTTTTATTAACTTTACTTTTCTTAGTCTTTTTAGACTTTGTCTTCAGTTTGGGATCAGTTGTCTGACTGTTGTTGTGGTCGTGTGACTGAATGTCGTAATCGTCCAACTCTTCGATCTCTACTAAACCCTCGAAGTCTTTGTCGGTGAAGCCATCGTTGGATTCGATGGCAATTGATTTCCATTTCAGACTTTTGTTTAGATTTAACATAATTTTCGCTTTAAATTCAATTCAATTTAAAGTCAAACAAAACACACATTGAATGCAAACTAAAGCACGTGTTTCTCAAACAGACTGTAAATACAGGACTCAATGGGAATGTAATGTGAAATGCAGTCAACGCTCAACGCATACAACAGTATTCTGTAAACCCTTTCCCTAAATAATAGACTAATCCATGAATTCTTTAAAATTGGTTACATTTCCTTAGATATGGATTCAATTCAAACCATAGTTTATATATTTATTGCAATATTTTTAATCATATTTAATGCAGTATTCAATGAAACGGACTTGAAAACCGTAAATCACTTAATGATCTCAATATGGGTTCAGGAATACACATGTTTTGCCACAAATCCATTGATTCACATCTTTCTGGCGTTTCTTCTTCTAAATCATCGGTCAATTCATTCGTCTGTTTCTCCTTTTTATTAACTTTACATTTCTTAGCCTTTTTGGACTTTGTCTTCAGTTTGGGATCAGTTGTCCGACTGTTGTTGTGGTCGTGTGACTGAATGTCGTAATCGTCCAACTCTTCGATCTCTACTAAACCCTCGAAGTCTTTGTCAGTGAAGCCATCGTTGGATTCGATGGCAATTGATTTCCATTTCAGACTTTTGTTTAGATTTAACATAATTTTCACTTTAAATTCAATTCAATTTAAAGCCAAACAAAACACACATTGAATGCAAACTAAAGCACGTGTTTCTCAAACAGACTGTAAATACAGGACTCAATGGGAATGTAATGTGAAATGCATTCAACGCTCAACGCATACAACAGTATTCTGTAAACCCTTTCCCAAAATAATAGACTAATCCATGAATTCTTTAAAATTGGTTACATTTCCTTAGATATGGATTCAATTCAAACCATAGTTTATATATTTATTGCAATATTTTTAATCATATTTAATGCAGTATTCAATGAATAGACTGTTCACAGAATTACTGCTTACTATAAGACAAGTTAAGCCTTACGTGTATGTAATATATTGTAATAAATGGCATACAATTTGTCAAAAACAGACAGAATGTATCTGAAAACTAATCTATTATCTCATTATTAGTGATAATATATTACATAAAACTAAAAAATGTTGTAATTTTACAATTTTAAGCCTCTTTTATACCATTAGTTCACTTACTTAACGAGAAATTGTGTTTACGTTTAGAGATTGAACTCAAGAATAGTATACATGAATTTGCAAAACCATATAATATGTGCAAATCATTGCAGAATTGGGTTTAAAGGTTATTGTTATACAATAAATTGACATTTGATTTCTTGTTACAATTTATAATGCAATTTATATTTTGCATTGAATAACAATAATAGCTCTAATATGCGTTAAACATATCGTCTATAAAGTAATGCTTGAATTTGGTGTTTTTATCTATCAAATCAATTCTCATGAATTTATTTAGAAAATTTTTCCATTAAGAATTTAGTGAATAAAATATATAATAAATTCAGACAATTTCTCGTTGACAACTTAGATAATAATAATAATAATGCTACTATTTTTGTATCGGTAATAATTTTATTTATAAATTATAATTATATCAGTAAATATGCAATTAAGCAAATGATGCCTAACATACTGTATACAGGAATTCATTGTGTGAATGATTGCGTTATTTTGCATCAAATGCTCAATAAAACGAAGAATATTTTTATTATAATTTTCCACATTATTTAAATTGAAAACAATTTAACGCAACGTTTTGCTAAACAAAGAATTTGTTGTGAATTAAAAATAAAATGATGTTTGGATTCGAGGAATGGGATGAAAAATGAGCTTAAGTCTGATAAGTGGAGCACATCTTGCAATAGTGTGAACAACTTTCGTCTAAACAAATAGAGTTAATGTATAGAAATGTAGGACAAATTGTTTGGGTATCTGTTTGTAGTTATTATACAATTCCTATTCGCTTCAAACAATTGTAACATTACATCAAATACTGTCGACACAAATGTTGTAAACATTTATATTCAACAAATTATTGCAAACGATGTGCTAAAACCAGTGGTAATTATAATTATCAATACAATAAATGTATAATAAAACATATAGATAAATAAATATTCTTTATAAGAATATGATAATATAAATAGACCTAGATATTAGAAAATCTTTAGTCTAAACTTTAAATTCCACATTATTAAAATGAATTAACTCAATAATATATTTTTAAGTTAATAAATTAAGAGTGCAAATGTATTTAAAATGTGCATTTTAATTTACTATTGATTTTGTTAATTTTACCAGAATTTTAGAATAGACAACTGTTATATCTCTCAAATACAGAACATTTTAATATTTAAAAACCCAAATTATTACAAAATTTTATTATAATAATTAATATTGTTAGAGTATAAGACTATAAAAATTATCGTATAGCATATTTAATATTCCTCATTTACCAATACTCTTGTATTGTTTAATATTTCCGGAAATATTAAATTTTTCAACTTTAAATCTTATGATTAGAACTAATTTAATATTATAGACTTTAAATATTTAAAAATGTTGATGTTTATTTCATTATTAAAAGTTGCACAGAATTAAATTCCAATATTGATTAATATAGAGAATTGAAGTGTTGAATAAGTTGGTCACCCTATCGACAAGTGAGTGAGTGCTCTAATCGGCTCACAAATGCATTATGAATGCAATGAATGTAAAGTGTATTGATATAAAAATTTGATTTTTTGTAGACAAAGTGCATAATTTAAATCGAGTCGATATGTGGTTAGAGTGAACATCTTATACAGTGAAGTTTGTCTATAGTGTACAATAAAGTGCACATCAATTGTGTTAATTGAGAGAGTGGTGAGAGTTATGGCCGAAATGCCAGTGCATTGAATGCATGTATGGTTGAGGGCAACGACCCTTTGGTTGCCTTATCTTTACTTAACACAACTTACACTATACTATAGACATAGTGTACTCTCTATACAGTGCACTCCCTATAAGGTATGACAATTTTTACTAATATGACCTCATTATATCTTTATAAATATATCACTTGTACTGGAATTTTGTCAATTCTGTACACTTTATGTTCACAATTCACTCTCTAATGTAAAC